AGCAACCTCAAACTCTAGGGTTTAAGTGATTCTCTTGCCTTAGGCTTCCAAGTCGCTGGGACTACAGGTGCCCTCCACAACACCCAGCTATTTTCTTATTATAGTTGTCATTATTGTGTGGTAGGTCCAGGCTGGGTTCAGACCAGCCAGCCCTAGGAGTATGTGGCCAACTCCCTAGCCCCTAAGCTACAGGCACCAATCGCCATCTATTTTTTTATTGTAGTTATCATTGTTTTAGCAGGCTCGAGCCAGGTTCGAACCTGCCAGGCCCGGTATATGTAGCCGGTGCCCTAACTACTGAACTACAGGTGCAAACCAGGAATAAGAATTTCTCTTTTTTTCACCACCCTCTCTTCAGCACATGTAAGCCTTGCCCATCCCCCAGTTGTCCCAATACAATTATGTGGTAACTAGTGAAATTAGCATTCAATGTAAAAACTATTTAGAGCCCAACCATGTAGTAATAAACCGATCACCTTTCCTTTTCTGCTCAACCTATTATTTTCTTTAGAGATAGAGTTCATGATAGTCTCTTTCTTTTTTTTTTTTTTTCTGGCTTAGTTTTCTTTTCAGTTGTTACTAGTTCAACACTCATTTCTTGAGTAAGTATCTGAGTCTTATCTTGGCAGTCCAGAAGTATCAGTATCCTGTCAGCTCATCTTCTTAGAAGAATCCTTCTATGAACTATGTGTGCACTTGAAGTCTGGGCTGATTGTCCTTCAGGCTGCAGCACAGCTGGAATCCTGGACTCTCCCTTCCCCACCATCCTAGAGATTCCCTTCATCTTTCTCTTATGATCAATATCCTGTCTCCTATACCTTATGGCTTTTTATTTCTGCACACGTTTTCTTGTTTGGGTGAGGAATGCCTTGCAATAGCTCCTGAGAAGAGGTTCCCTTCTGAAGCATGGAAGCAATTTACGGGAATATAATCCCATTTTGTTCTTACTTGGTTTATGAAGAGTAGAGCTGCATTAGAGCTGTTTCTGGTCATGGGGGTCTAACCCACATCCTCCAGAAGGCCAAAGGAGTAACTCTGAATTATGATTCAAGGAAGGCTTTTTCTATGGGAACCTAAGCTAGTAAAGTCTGGCGTATCACTCTTGGGTGGGCAACTCAGTTTGATACCAGCAGCCCATCCCCACGGAAAGGGTAGAGGGCTTGGCAACAGAAAACCCATTTAAATTTCCTAATGTTGACACTTGCTAGCTAGGGAATTTGAGTCCTGTAATCTCAGGAGCCTCTTTCCTTATCCATCCTTTGAGGTTGGTGATAATGAAACACTCACTGTCCACCACAGGGCCAGCTGTGAGACTCAAACAGAAAAGCACTTTGTAAACTCTCACATGCTATATAAACAGTGTTATTTTTACAGCAGTGGTGTCACTGTTAAAAAGATAAAGTTTAGGATAGTTAGAGGATGGATAGTTAGCATGTTCCTTAAAATATCTCTTTAGCATAAAGTAGCATAATTTGGTGGTCAGGAACACAGAATTTGGAGCCAAACTGCCTGTGCCAATGTCTGGATTCTGATAACATTTTATGCTCAGTGTGACTTTGGTGAAATTATTCCACTTCTTTGTGCCTCAGTTTCCTCTTCCATAAAATAAGGGTACTTACGATAATAGTAGAATTAAAATAAATGGGCTGCTGCTTATAGTGCTCAGAGCTGTGCCTAACACATAAAGTCCTGCGTGTTTCATAAATACACAAATAGCAATTGTCTTAACTGTGCTTCTGACTCTGGGGATGGCTTAGAATGCCAAGGCTACATCATACCTCACAGCAACCTCAAACTCTTAGACTCAAGAGATCCTGGCTCGGTGCCTGTGGCTCAAGTGGCTAAGGCGCCAGCCACATACACCTAAGGTGGTGGGTTTGAATCCAGCCCGGGCCCGCCAAACAGCAATGATGGCTGCAACCAAAAAATAGCCAGGCATTGTGGCGGGGGCCTGTGATCCCAGCTACTTAGGTGGCTGAGGCAGGAGACTCACTTGAGCCCAGGAGTTGGAGGTTGCTGTGAGCTGTGATGCCATGGCACTCTACCCAGGGGGACAGCTTGAGGCTCTATCTCAAAAAAAAAAAAAAAAAAAAGAGAGAGATCCTTGCCTCTGCCTCCCAAATAGCTGGACTATAGGTGTGCACCTCTAGGCCTGCCTAGTTTCTTCTATTTTAGTAGAGACAGGGTCTTAACTTGCTCAGGGTGGTTTTGAACTCCTGAGCTCAAGGGATTCTCCTGCCCTGGCCTCCCAGACTGCTAAATTAAAGGTGTGAGGCACCCACTGTGCCCGGCCTAATTTTGCTATTTTTGAACCTTCCCCTCAACTATGGTAGACAAATAAAAGACTCCAGAGACAGAAAAATACCACTTTTTCACTTAAGCTCTTTTATAGATTTCTTAACATGAGGGGGCAAGATACAGCCATCTTACCCTCAGGAAATGAGAGAAAATTATCTTTCTTAAGCTGCTAAGCAGTAGATTTTTACTTTGTACCCCTGTGTTGAGTACTTAAGCAGTTTTCTCTCAAGCACCTCATGAAAAAGGCCAAAGAAGGCAGCAAAATCTGCCTCCAAAGGCACAAGCCTGGGGACAGTTCAGAGCAGGATGGGGCTGGGCTGGGGCCCAAGCAGTGAGCAACACAGACTTACGTGACCTCTCTTTCCTTCCCACTGGCCTGGGAGGAGGCTGGGGCAGGAGTGTCTGGAGAGAGCCAGAGCCACACTCAGTAGAGGGGTGGAGGGAAGCACATGGGCAGGTGGGGATTAGAGTGGTGGCTTTCTTGCCAGTCACCTGCTCCATGTGGTGGAAGACCCTGGGCTGCCCTCCTGCATGAAAAGCAAGAGGAAGCCATTTGTCGTCTAAGTGGCAGTCAGGGCTTCAGAAGCTCCTGACAGCCCTCTGGGCTGTGCTATTTGAATGCTTCTGCTCCCTCCATCCATCCTGGGTATCAGGAAGATCAGTGGTTGCGGAGGAGACAACTGGAGGCCATGTTGCAGGGATAAGGGGAATGTGATTGTACCTCCCACAGCGAGCCCATGCCAAAGTGCCTCTTTCTCAAATAAGAATTCCTACAAGGACTCCTGCGGTACCCAGGTGTCATCCCATTTTCAAGTGTGAGTTGCTTGTTAGGAAACACCAGATAGCAGTC